AATTAAACACTACTTTTCGAGATTGTCGTCGGTCTGCAGCTACATAATAGAATAAGGTCTCGTTCGGAGGGAATAAAAGCCAATTAAAATTGAAAATATGGCCATTATTAAATCTCACTCGTCTAATAAAAGTCAACAATAACGACTATATTTTCAATTTTAATCCGATTTTAATCCCCCCATAGCCTAAGTAATAAAGCCCCGTAGAAGACAACAAAGGGGAAAAAGGAAACACCGTGTCCATGGATTTCCTAGCATTTTTGCTGGTTCTTTTATCTATCATTTGGATATGGATTCTTTTCCAAACATTACATTCAAAGCACAGGAAATCCGGCAAGCTCCCGCCGGGGCCATATCCTTTTCCGATCATTGGAAACATACTAGAACTCGGCAAGAAACCCCACCAGTCACTGGCCAAACTCTCCAAAACCTATGGACCCTTAATATATCTTAAAATAGGGCATCTTAATGTTGTAGTTGTTTCATCACCCGAAATAGCGAAAGATGTATTGCAAAAATACGGTCAGGTCTTCTCCAGCAGAAGTGTTCCTGGTGCAGCCATGTCCAACCAACACAACAAATTTTCTATGGTGTGGTTGCCGGCGGAAGATCAATGGCGAAAACTTCGCAGAATATGTAAAGAACAGATGTTTTCAACGCTTAGGCTTGACGCAAGTTGGGACCTTCGGCTGGAAAAGTTGCTGAAATTGGGTGATTTTGTGAATCAATGTAGTGTTAATGGGCAGGCTGTGAATATTGGTGAAACTGCTTTCATTACATCACTTAATTTGATGACAGCAACTCTTTTTTCAGTTGAATTTGCAGAGTTTAACTCTGATTCTTCTCAAGAGTTTAAGGAAGTTGTTTGGGGTGTGATGGAATGTCATGGGACTCCTAATATTGCAGACTATTTTCCAGTTCTCAAATATTTAGATCCACAGGGAATTTTGCGCCGGAGCAAGTTTTATTTTGAAAAGTTGTTTGCAATATTCGATGGCATAATAGATGAACGGTTGAAATCAAGAGGTACATCAGTGAAGAATGATTTACTGGACGCTCTCCTTGATCTAAACCAAAAACCTGACTCTGAATTAAGCCGAGATGATATAAAGCATCTTCTTCTGGTATGTATCCTGTTTGCCTAAATTTGCATATGGACCATTTTACGAAGACACGTGGTGGGGTAGTGATGTATCCTTTTGCCTAAATCGTCAAATCCCAATGTGGACCACTTTGCAAAGACACCTGGTGTGATAGTGATGTATCCTTTTGCCTAAATCCCGATGTGGACCACTTTACAAAGACAAGTGGTGAAGCCCCTAGTCGAGCCCTTGTTTGATCTCGATTATCTTCAAAGTATATTTTTCTTTTTTCTTTTTTTTCAATCATACATTTTTCAGTAAAATAATATTACATCTAAACTCAAAATTTTTTCTTATTTTTCAATTACATTTTCCATTTATCTACTATTCTAAAATGCAATCCTACACTAAAATGAACAAAAATTATAGAATCAGAAGGATATTTGGATGCCCATTTTCTTATCATGTTTTCATGGGATATACGCAAATTGGTCCACATGGGGGTTTAGGCAGAGGGATACATTACTACTGGTACCAATCACGCAATAGTATGTGCAGTAATTACACATAATCTAAAAAGGGCATGTTTATTGAATCGATACTAAAAGTTAAATCCTTTCCTATATTTTAATGTTAACTTAAGCAAAATGAATTTATCTTTTGATCCAAGACAGAAAAAGTTTATGACAAAATAGGTTGCAATGAGGCTTGAACGCAAATTTAATACCATGTTGAGCTACATTTATGCTTTAAAAAAGGACTATCAGATGGAATTTAAGATCGGATTTTGATTAAGAATGTAATTAATTTTTCTCCGTTTGTAGGATTTATTTCTTGCGGGGACAGATACAACTTCAAATACAGTTGAATGGGCAATGGCAGAGTTATTGCGCAACCCCGAGAAGATAATAAAAGCTAGAAATGAGCTTAGGGATGTAATTGGAATGAACAGTCCAATTCAAGAATCAGACATTTCAAGGCTTCCATACTTACAGGCTGTGCTGAAAGAAACATTTAGGCTTCACCCTGTTGGCCCCTTTTTAGTACCTCATAAAGCTGATGGCGATGTAGAGATCAATGGATACTTGGTCCCTAAAAATGCACAAATTCTAGTTAATGTATGGGCGAGCGGTAGAGATTCAAATAATTGGTCGAGCCCAGATTTGTTTATGCCTGAAAGATTTTTAGATTGCAAAACCGATTTCCAAGGTCAAGATTTCGAGCTCATTCCTTTTGGTGCCGGGAGGAGGATATGCCCTGGTTTGCCATTGGCTCGTCGGATGGTGCACCTCATGCTAGCCACTTTGATATGCAACTTTGAATGGAAACTTGAAGAGGGATTGAAACCGGAAGAAATGGACATGACTGAGAGATTTGGACTTACTCTACAGAAGGCCACTCCTCTGAAGGCATTTCCTGTCAAATTGTGAGCTTCTGCTTTTCTGCACGTATCCATGAAGATTGTCCCACTGGAGCAATATAGAAAAGAATAGTTCAAAAACACTTGTTTTTACATTTTACAGTACTGCTGAAGAAATGAAAATGTTGTACAATAATGAACAAGCATTGATCAAGAATTTGATCCATGTGTGTGTTTACCTTGAGTGTGTAAGAGTTCGTAATTGATTTATATGGTTGAGAATTCATCATTCCCTTCTAAATGATATTCGAACCCCTAATTTAATAACCTGTTAGGACTTTGCTCTTATCAATTGAGTAGAGCTTTGATCTATCTTATTTTCACTTCAACTTGTGAATAGTTATATTCAATGTTTTTTGTTTTGGATAAATATTCAAATTTTATTTGATTGTGTTAAGAATTAGTCCTTAATTAAATGCATGCAAGTTAAAGTTGACGTACTAATTGTAATAAAATATCGAATGCTTTTATGTTTTTCATAACTATTTTACAAGTTTGGTTATGCCTCATGACTTAAAATATTATCGGCATCTGCCACTGATAATAACCCACGGGCATGGATTTCCTAACCTCTTTGGTTCTTCTTTTACATATCTTATGGATATGGATTCTTATCCAAACATTAAATTCGAAGCATCGGAAATCCGGCTAGCTCCCCTCGGGGCCATATCCAAACAAAATTATATTACCACTACTGTTTTTGTTTTGTTCACCACATTATAAATGCACACCAATTAAAAAACATTTTTGCTAAGTACACTACATTTATTTTTCAAATATAACCACAATCTAATTAAAAAGAAAGAAACAAAAGAACATATACGTACACCACATTCATCTTCTTCTCTAATATTACCCTCGATTCTGTCACTCACCCATACTGGCAACCAAAACTCCTCTTCATCATGGTACTATGAACCTTGTTCATTGAAGTGAGAAACCACAAAAGGCCGCTTTGTCTTTCTCTCATAGGCACATGAGTGTGCCTCAAATGCTTTTTGCAATTTTTCTTCCCTTTTACAGATTTATTAAGCCTATTAATAAATACTTAAAAACACCACATTCATCTTCTTCTCCACTATTACCCTCGATTCTGTCACTCACCCATACTGGCAACCAAAACTCCTCTTCATCATGGTACTATGAACCTTGTTCATTGAAGTGAGAAACCACAAAAGGCCGCTTTGTCTTTCTCTCATAGGCACATGAGTGTGCCTCAAATGCTTTTTGCAATTTTTCTTCCCTTTTACAGATTTATTAAGCCTATTAATAAATACTTAAACCATCTTTATTAAGTTGTGGAATGTGCTATATGTTTGCTGTCTTTGTTCCATTAGGTTTACTATCGTTCTTTGTGGACGGTGGTTCAATAGTTTAAGATAGAGTCCAAGGAAGATAAATTTAAGGCTTGTTTAGTTTCACTTGCAAACTGAATATAAAACAACGGAGAAGGGAGAAGAAACCAAAGAAAAAAACAGAGACAATTAGCGACCGATGCAGCATGATTGCACTGCAAGTCGGTCAACGACAACAAAATCGCAAACAAAAAACTAAGCATGGAGCCAATTGGGAAGTCGTCGACTTATGAAATTTTCACGTCTGCGACCCTCTTATGGTCAAGCTAGATCATGTAATGTGTGTACAGGTTTTTAAGTTCCCAGTAGAAATATATTTATATTATTTTCCAAATATATTTGAACTTCTCAAGAATCAAGACGCAATTTTTTTACTTTCGTTCTTACATGTTCTGGAACCTCTTCTGAAAAATGTAAATTCATCAAATGTATAAATTAGTGTTCCGAATTACCAGATGTATATAAATCAGGAAGATGGAACCAGTTAGATTAAGCTCATGTTTGTCACCCATTCTTTTAAAAATTATTTTCTACGTACTCATTTTCAACCATACATTCACACAATAAAATATTTTACACTTAAACCCAAAAAATTTTCCTATTTTTTAACCACGCATTCTTCAAAAATTCACCATTCAAGACATTGTTTTTCTAAAAAAAATGGCCACCAAATAGGGGCTAAAAGTGTCAACCAAAATGTAAAAGTAAATAATCTAAATAAAAAATTAAGAGCATCATTGAAAAAGAACAAAAAAATTGTTGCACTAGTATTTTAATTGCAGTTTTTGATTGAACTGTGCTTATTTAAAATTTTGACTGGAGAAATATATGCACAATACCCATACGATAACACATATAGTTAGAATTCAATGAAGATGTAAATATTCAATCAGCCGTATGTATTGATTAATTGATAGAAGGCTAAATAATACAAAGATATATACAAGGAATAATCTAGAAAGGATAGCTGTTAATTTGTTCCTAAATGAGTGGATCTTGTTTAGAACAATTCTACAACAACTTGGTGCTAGCACTACGCTAAAAACCGTAAGAATCATGCTACTGCTTTGTTGCTCCAGCTGGCTCATGACTTGGCTATTTTCAGCTGATGTTGAGATTCTTAAGGATAAGGTAGGTAAATCAGTTATTTCAGTTAACACCCTCCCTCAAGCTAGGAGGTGTCAGAGTAACTCCAAGCTTGTCCTTCAAAAATAGAAACCTTGAGTGATTCAATCCCTTGGGTAGCAAATCAGCAATCTGGTCTAACGGAATATATTTCACTTCTAATTCTTTAGCAATTACTTTATCTCTGATGAAATGCACATCCAATTCAATGTGGTTTGTCCTTGCATGATATACGGGGTTAGCTGCCAATGCACCAGCACTCATATTGTGGTACTAAATAGTTGGGATTTCAGCTAAAGGTAGTCGCAGTTCTTGGAAGAGTGATTGAACCCAGGCTATTTCTGAGGCAATTGAAGCAAGTACTCTATACTCCGATTCAGTGCTTTAACGTGCCACAACGTGTTGCTTCTTAGATGACCAACTTATCAGATTGTTACACAAATAAACGCAGTACCCGGTGGTTGATCTTCGATCATCAGGGCAGGACGCCCAATTAGCATCTGAGAATCCAGTCAAGGTCAGTATATCATTTCTTTGAATCCAAAGTCCGTGATTTGTTGTACCTTTTAGATATCTGAAAACCCTCTTCAGTCCTTGCTAGTGTGACGAAGTTGGAGTTTGCAAAAATTGGCTTAACTTGTTTACAGCAAAAGTGATGTCTGGCCTGGTGTATTGAAGATATTGCAGCCCCCTACAACACTTCTGTAGATTGTAGGATTCTTTAGTGTTTCCCCTTCAGTTTTTGACATTGATTTTCCAGCAGGGATAAGCGTGATGCAAGGTTTCACATTTTGTAATTCAAATCTCTCAAGCAAATCAGTAATATACTTTGCTTGAGTTAGATGAATACCAGATTCGTGCCACAGTACCTCAATTCCAAGGAAATGGTCCAGCCTTCCCATGCCTTTCAAAGCAATTTTTTTGTTTAGGTTGTCAATGAACTCCTGCAGCAGTCCTTTGTCATTACTTGTTACAACAATGTCATCCACATAAATGAGTGCAAACATTATCTGATTTTCATTTTTGAAGTAGAAAAGAGAAGTGTCTGCCACTGATTGTGTGAATTTCCAGCTCAGAAATGTGTTTTTCAATTTCTCATTCCAGGCTCTAGGTGCCTATTTCAAACCATAGAGTGCCTTTTTCAGTTTGCACACATGATTGGG